AGGCCGACATGTGAGCTGGGTGTGTACCGCGGGGCTCCGAAACTCGCCTCTAATAAAGAAATACGTTTCCTCCCCAATCTTCAAGCTGTTGGGTGTTCCTCGCTTTTGGGAGGTGCTTTAAATCTGGCTGCCAGAGCCGTGGGCTGCGAAGAGCAGAAGCTGGCTGCGCGATGCTGAGCTCAGGTCTTCCCCCTGTTCTCCTGTTGCTCGCAGCGCTGGAGCCGAGCTGGTCCCTCAGTGATGAAGAAAAGAAGATCATCTTGGACGGGCATAATAAGTACCGCTCCCAGGTGTCTCCTCCCGCTACGGATATGCTGAAGATGGTAAGTGACTTTTCTTGCAGGGGAGGTTTATGTGGTGCAAGAATTGATGTTAATGCTAAGAGGGTTTTTTCTTCAGGGGAGGGACAGCAATTCTCGAGTACGGCTACAACTCGGTACAACAGAGGGGTTCCTTTAATTGCCTCTGAGATGAGTTTCCTTTTACCGATGGAGTTGTTCTGGAAAATCCTGAGCGTGATCCGAATGCCCCGATGCCCTTTGTGAGAGCAATGCAGCTCTCTGGAGCCCCCCGCGCTGGGGAGGAAAGGCTGGCGAGACCTTGCCACAAGCAGGTGTCCTGGGCTGGAGGGAGAATCCCTCCGTGCAGAGCGTCACCTGGTGCTTTCTGTTTGCCTTTGCAGGTGAACGGGCTTTTATCTGCAGGAGGGAATGTCAACTTTAAGCACGACAACCTGTTTTCTTGGTAGTTTGAGCTTTTCTACTCCTCACCAAGACTGCTATGTGGCTGTCTTGGAGTGAGGAGGTTTCGCTTGGGGAAACTGAGTCAGGTGCCCTCCGTTGCGTGTGGCTGCAAGGGGAGCAAAACCAAGCTCTCAAGCTGGTGATGCTTTTTTGTCTTAATTTGGCTCGTCCGTTTTATCTCGCACCACACGCGAAGTTTCTCAACACGCACGGAGGGGGAGGACAGCGGGTTGTCGTGGACGGTCGGAGTGCTTTGCTCATTTGGTCACAGTGTGCTCGGAGGAGACCTCTCTAGCCCCAGAGTTGCCCAGGCTGAGTGAAACCTTTGTCGGCTCATAAATGGGAGCTTAGAGAGCAAACGAAGCAAAAAGCTGTGCTCGGGTATAGGTCTGACTGGTGACTTCAGGCTCAAAGGGGGACAGAGCCAGAACCCTGAGCACCACGATCCCATGGTGCCACCAAAAGCAAGGCAGAGAAAACTCAGAGAATAAGGGATTTGGAGCCAAAGACAGAGAAAGCCCGAGGGAAATGATGTCTCAGGGTCCTTAAGTCAGCAACAATTTTGAACCAGCGACTGCTGCTCCCGGCTGAAGCTTTGATTGGGGATTGTGTGCTCTGAGATGCTCCCCTCCGCGGGGTTGCTTTATTTCTGCTAAAACACACAGGACCCACTTGGCAGTCCAGAGCCAAAGGCTTTTTTTTATTTTTTGAGTGTAGCAAATGTTTAGCTTACAGCAGCCCTGACAATTTCTTGGTCGAGGTTTTCCATGCGAGCGCCGTCGGGACGTTTCCTGGAGCTGCCTTTGCCTCCGAGCTCACCTGCTGCCGCTGCGTCGCGCCCGGCTGAGGTCACCCCACTCTTCTGTTTGGGACACGGTTGCCATGGAAATAGTTGGGCGATGCGGGGAGGGGGGAGATACATGACCTAAAGCCCCTTTTTCTTTTCAAATGAGGCGAATCCTGCAGGTGCAAGGCCCCTGTTTATGGAGCCCAGCTCCGTGCCAGAGGGAGAGGATGGGTTTCCAACCATCGCTCTCAGCCTGGCTTGGGGCCATGGCAGGAGGTAGACTCTGTGCCCCAACACAGA